AGCATTGACAAAAGGAGGGAAATGAACAGTCATTATATAGAGACCTGCAACTCGACCCTAGGGTCGGCTTGGGTTGGGAGTTAAGAAACTGTCGGGTCGAGTTAGGGTTGAACATTTTTCGGCGCAATTTGAAATATAGATAATAATTTCAATTTTGTATTACTCGTTGATACGCTAACTCTGCTGGAATGTTCAGTTGAAATACTTATTTCAGATCAACTGCATTCGCCAACGAGGCAGGATCTTCAGATGTCCAACTTCGTTCTTAATGATATTATAAAGTCAGTCAATAGAGGAAAGTGAGCGGATAAAAACCCTTAAAAGAGGGCCCATATTGGTTCTTTCAAAAGTTATGAAATTTTTTATTCTAAGGGAGTAACAGTAATAATTCTGTAAACTAGTCAAAACAAAGAATTAAAAGGTGAAATTTTCTTTTATACTTTTACTAATAGTCTACTAATACTACAGAAAATTTGAGCATTATATCTTTCTAAATTTGCTTGTTATTGAACTTTTCTTCTTGAAGGAAAATAATGTTTTTCTAAACCGCACAATTTTCAATAGTAACATTTCCTTTTTATTAGAGATGGTATTGCGCGCATTTTTTCCTGCTGAAAACATTTTGGTACGAGAAGAAAATAAAGAAGATAATTAGCCTTGTCATCAGCGCACATTCCAGTTTGTGAGAAAAAGGGAAACTAGAGAATCAACAAGAGAACCCTTGCGACACGATTGAAGAGTCGGCTTTTTTTCAGAAAGATAATGTTCTTCTACGGGATATTATTCGTATTATCGTAGCAGCTGGTCTATCCACCTATCAAACCTCCTGCATTAGTTTTAATTGTATCAAGTACTACAGTATATATTCACTGTGAAGGATATCATGTGATGATTAATTATCTCAAAGGAAAACGATGGAGTTGTCTTGAACTTTTTTAGGATGTTCTCTTGTTTTAGGAAAACACTATTCTCATTCAAGAAGCCAAGTTCAATAACAAGCGAATTTAGAAAAACATAACGCTCAATTTTTCTGTCGTATTAGGAGACTATTAGCAAAACTGGCTGCAATGCGATGCCCTCCGCTAAACAAACAGGCAAATAAAAAGACATAAACTTGAGAACAAAACAAAAGAGTAAAAATTTATCGGGTCTGATCGGATTGGGGTTACGTTTTCTTAATGCGTACAGATCTCTATCCTTATAGCCCTTATTTTCTGATGGGAAACATTTGGCTTATCACGTAATTCCGTCATGACCTCGGATTTGCTTATTAAGAACGTTGTACCGAACCGATTTATTCCAAAGTTTTATCACAAACGACTCAACCTACCGCACATCTCTGACAAAAATTTTCAACTTTTAAACAAGTATTCATAACCATAACATTATTACTACGTAATTTCAATCTTCTATTTTATTAGGCCTAATCTTCAGAAACTTATACGAGAACCAAGCTGCTAAAAAATCGTCACGGAATTCCACTACGTTAGCTGGTCATAGCGCAACGTATTACGTTGTTTTTATAGCTTTGTGAGAGGTATGAAAGCCCTGTTGGTAGAAAGATATGTCTTTAACTAAACAATTCCCGCTATAATTCATCATGTTCCGAAATCAAAAGAACGTTCGTATGTCCGGTTTGTCATAAAAAGACGGTTAGTCCAGAACTGCAAAAGAAGCCAATCTTTCAACTATAAGTGATACACTTTGCTGCAATATCGGGAGCACTGAATATCGATTACTCAAAGATCCATTAACTCCAAAAGACGCAGAAAAATGCCATATTAATATCATATAAAATATCAAAAGAATACAATATTCGGAATCAGGATAAAAAAACTGAGTCGACCAATGTGTACTTCTATTCTTCTGTACTTCTATTCTAAAATGACTTACGAGTTAGTTGATTATAATCAGTAAATATATCATTTAATAACCACCATACTTTTACTTTTCTTGTGATAATTTACTTACTTACTACTTTTCCTTTCATAATACATTAAAAGATTGTATCAGTGATTTTGGAACGTCATTTGGTGTTTTATACACAAATAATGAATCATATGAATGTGCGAAAACGACGATGAACGGTTGTATTTGATCCCACCTTACAACAGAAAAGATCGTCAGTTTTGTTCAACAGTTTTTAAATTTACTCATTTTTCACCCACTAATTCAATCGATATTGATGTAAATTCATTTGATGAATGAAGAAATGTCTGTATAATATCCATTCGTAATTGTGGTTCTTATAATGTATCATAGTCACAATTTGAAAGTCCATAAAATAAGTGATAAAATACATTAATAAATATTTTTAATCATGTCCATGATAAATAACTTTTATCCTTACTTTAAATAAAATATTTCTTTATTAAATCAATGCGCACACGATTTGTTATTAATTTTTCGTCAATAACAGTTATTTTTTTATTTTTAATTATTTTATTTTCAATAATATATAAAGCATGTGTGACATAATGTAAACGTTCTTCTGTAAGTTATATATAAGATGATATAAGTTAAATTCTTTTAATATAATTTTTTCTTTTGAGTCTAAATAACGAAATACATATATATCTTGATTTAAGTTAAAAAAATGGTGATCATTCTAATTCAAAATAAAATATTGTGTTTGTTGGTGAATAATAATTATTTATAAATAACAATAATTGCGAAATAAGCATAAACAAAATAGAATTTAATTTAATAAACTGATGTTCTCTATTGAACCAATATCAAAATGAATTGAATTTGATGCACTAATTGATAATAAACGTTCAGCTATTAGATCAACACTGCAATTACCGATCCGTAATAGGAAATTGAATGAATTTTCGATTAGATGGTTTTGTATTATTTCGAATAAATGTTGAATCTGCTATTTTCTGATACAAGATATAGTTTTTAACTAATTTGTTGTATTAATTTTTTCAATTCATTTTCATTTTCTAATTCATTATCAGCCGAACATTTCCGCAAAGCTTCGCCCATTTATACCCAACTTTTACCTGAGAATATCTCACTATGCCTGTCTTGTAGCGCTCTTCGAGCTGTGTGTAACATTTAGTATTTATGTATCGCATTCGGTATTTTTGCAAAATACGAGATGTCAACCAACGTTTCATCATATTAAATGACTGGATTAGAGGCTTTATAAAATTATTGGCAAAAATTCTTTGAGATGTTTTCGCTCAATGTTAAATTTCTGATCTCCTTCGTATTTTCTTCATTATTTTTTAACGGAACCTGGAACTTGCTTGCAACCATGGAAACTTGCTTGACATCTCATTTTGTGCAAAATTGCACGGGTTGTCGACTGGTATGGTTGAACACTTTCAAAAATGAATTTAAAGATCTTTAGGTTTCTTGGAAAACCAGAGTTTTCAAAAATCGTTTTTTCCAGACACACACTGTGATGGTACATAGAATTTCTCGTTGATATAGAGCTTTTTCATTCGAGACCAAATTCAAGGTTCTGCGTTAGGGACTGTGGTTTGGACAAATTTTACAAGTTAGGTCAAATTCGCTGGAAAGCAGTAAAAAATGCACTCTCCCGCTAGAAGGACAAAAACGACCATAACTTTTTCCGTACAATGATGAAGAGCTGCGATTTTCGCCATTTGATTCAGTTCGCCGAGTCCTATTACGGGAGGTATATCTCGCCGTTTGCGCCGATACTTTTGTATATCATGCTATATATCATATGGATTGATTGAGCCTGTTGCGTTTTCTTCAAAAAACTTGAAAAATGCATAACTCGGCTCCAGAGGCTCAGACAACCGAACCAACCTAGAGTTATTCTATTCTATAGATCCCTACTTGTGGGCAAAATACCGGCTCAAAAGCGAATAAACATCTCGAGAGGTTTCCTCGTTAGTACTCTGCAATAACTTTACTAGATAAGTAATTGCCAAGTGCTTCAAATACTTGAAGAGAAGGACGTGTATGGTACTTATCAGCTACCTAGAAACTATCTGAAACGCTTGCAGACAATTTGCAAGTGCTTATCATATTACATGCGCTTGTACTTCCTTCAGTACTCATCAAACTAATCAAGTACTTGTATCCCTTAAATTACTTGATAAATGCCTTGTTTACTTCCAAAAGCTTCCAGGTACTCTGGACATTACTGACCCAAGTACTTGTCTAAGTACCTGGTCTCAGGTATATTTAGGAGGATACGTTAATTCACACATGAATACTCATAAGCGTTCGCTTTGCATTTCGCAGGATGAGTATTATACTGAGTATCCATGCCTGGGTGATGACATATGGATAATCATTTGAAAACAGTATAAAGTCCATTTGAAAATTCTAGCTAATCTCCTGTAGATTGAAATATGGTTCTTCTTTCTTATGCGTGATTTCGTTTGTATCTAGAGTGCTTTGTTCACGTAACGGATGATCAATTTTTGTATTAGAGTAAATGAAGAACGAGAGATAAATAAAGGTGCACTGCTAATATTTTCTTTTTATAACGCCATGAACACCTTTTTTTCTTTCTTTCATATTTCCCCTTCATGATACATGGTTAATAATTATCAACACATTTGAATTCAAAACAACGTGCTACAACGTCGTAGATTCAGTAATTTTGCTAGAATAATTCATTGCATCGTGTAACATTTTTTTTACAAAGGGCAAAAGAAAATTCATTTGGGAAAATGTCAAAACAACAACAACAACAATCTTACCGAAGTGTTAAACAAATGGCGGAACAATTTGATGTAAGTTCCATTGCTTTTATAAGTGACATTTTTGATAACTAACTCTATTTTTTTCTCCCGATTTTCTGAAAAAATGGTGTTTTGCTTGACGATTTCAATATGAAACCGTGTATCAAATCTATTTAGAGTTTCACACGGTCAGTCAATACTGCATGATAAAACGAGCTCAATCTTGTTCTTTTGTTTCATTTTGGAAGTAGTCAAGTAAATCAAGAGTAATAAATGTTTGCTTTTTTTCAGAAGAACTCAGAGCAACATGATAGTCAAAGACAAATGCCAGTTATAAATCATCAAGAGCCTAAACAAATGCCAATTGTAAATCATCAAGAGCCTAAACAAATGCCAATTGTAAATTATCAAGAGTCTAGACAAATGCCAGTTGTAAATCATCAAGATCCTACACAAATGCCAATTGTAAATTATCAAGAGCCTAGACATATGCCAATTGTAAATTATCAAGATCCTACACAAATGCCAATTATAAATCATCAAGATCCTACACAAATGCCAATTGTAAATTATCAAGAGCCTAGACATATGCCAATTGTAAATTATCAAGATCCTACACAAATGCCAATTATAAATCATCAAGATCCTAGACAAATGTTAGATTTAGAAAAACATGATGAAGAGTTACGGAAAAAATTTACTCGAATGTGGCCAGCAGCAATAATATTGGGATGGACAATGAGACAATATGACGAACAAGGTTCTACGCGATGGAAAGTTATTGTGCCTGAGGGTGATTACAGATCGTCCTGGGCAGGCAAAGCACATTATTTTACCTATGATGGAAAACAAATTGAAGTGCCAGACCATTTCTTTCGTGATGAACAAATCCTAGCTCGATCACAGCAATATTAATCAACAAACTTACGACTACTTACAAAATTCTCATTTTTTTCCTGTTTTAATCAAAATCTCAAAGTTAGAATTTATGTGTGTTTTCACTTCAACGGCTGAACGAAGAATATAATATCTTCATGATGAAAGAAGCAGCAATCAAAGTGTGAAAACATTTAAGCTAAATTGGACACTGATAAGGGGTCCCAACTTGCACCATTCAACAACCAAGACCTCAATGCAACTTTTCATAAGCAGAAACATTTTGAAAAAAACTGCAACAACCGATTTTTTCAGAGATATTTGGAAAACTATTTCATAACTCGAAAACTTAACATAGCA